AATACAGCAGACAATTGCGAGTCGTGTACCGATCCACAGAGGAGAGGTATAGAGCCGGCAAGTTCGACAATAATTTCCGGGATGGGATTGCAAGATGACCCATCAAATGGAAACGATTCGTGTCTCCTGCGTACGCCTTCCGCACGTCGTCGAGTAAAGGCGACGACAGCACACTGACTGACGGATCCGCAACAGTGGGCAAGGACTTACTGTTTGCGCATGTTGTCGCCTCGAATTCGGGTCGACGTAATAGCGCATCAGCGACGACGTCAAGTCGTCCTGGTTTATACTCCACGTAGACCTTATACTCCGCGGAGAAATACAGCCACCTCGACATTCGTTGCGAGAGGTGTGGACTGTTTACGGCCGTGCGTAGTGACCCATGGTCCGTATAGACGATGAACGGTTTATCTTTTGTGAGACAGACGCGAAACTTGGACAGTGCGTACTTCGTGGCAACGTGTTATTTGTCATGAACTTGATATTAACTTTTAGCTGATAGAAGATGACGCGATTGATAGCAGATGACGCGATCCGCGCCATCTGTAATAAATTGCACCAACGCGCAGCTGATCGCCAAATCGCTGGGGTCACAGACCACATGAAATGTGTCCTGGTCGAAAAATCGCCAACATGGGCGATTGCATCAAGCTTTACTTAGTACCTTTAAAGAAACGCTGACAGTCAGCGTTCTATGCCCACTTCACATTTTTCTTGAGTAAACAAGAAAGATGAACAGTCATATCGGCACCGTTGGGCGAGTACGTGTGCAAGTACGCCGCTAAGCTAAGGATCTTACGAAGTCCCTTGTCATCGACTGGCACTGGCCAGTCGGTGATCGCCTTCATCATTTCGGGATCAGGGCGGACGCCGTGTTTGCCGACGCTGCACCCAAGAAGTAGTATTTCGCTTGCCGCAAATATTCACTTCTTGAGGTTGGCATACAACTTCTGCTTGCGCATAAGATGAAGAATCTTACGGAAGTGAAGTCGGTGGACTTAAGCGTCCGTCCTTCCATCCATAGCCCGGCTATGGACGAACACATCGTCGAAGTAACTCGGTGCGACATCCCACACCGGTTTCAACAGATTTGTAACACATATGTTGAATGTTGCAGGGGCATTGCTCAGCCCCTGTGGCATCACTAGCCCCTCCCACAACATACCGCTGATGGTTCTCACTACTGTGTACAGGATCTCCAGCTCACACATGAGGATCTGGTAGAAGCCATCAATCAGATCCATGGACGAGAAGATGGTCCTCTTCGACATACCATCTATGATTACGTCCTTCCTCGGTATCGGCGTCCGAGCCGGTACCGTTGCAGCATTCAATTTGTTGAATGCGTGCACTATCCGCCATCCTCCTGTGGTCTATCGCACACAGAAGGTCGGAGAGCTGTGAGGGAAAGTTGATTCCCTCACATGACCTGCCGCTTAGCGATCGGTAAAGAACTTGTCGATCGCTATCACTTGTTCACGAGGCAGTGGCCACTGATTCATGACACAGTACTTCGAGCCCGGTTTGAGCTCGATCTCGTGTCGAGTGCCTTTGTCCTTAGGCAACTCGCAAGGCACGGATTCAGGGAACACATCTCTAAATTCGATCAAATCCTTATACAAAGGATTTGCCTGAAGTGACTCCCAGGATTGAGATGTGTATCGCTCAATCCGAGTCTTCTCATCGAGGACACTTTCGTCCATCGATGATCTGCTGAGCACCCGTTCGTTCTCAGCAAATACTGTGGCCGACCGAATATCGGCCACATACTCATCCTCTGTTACGAGTATGCAGATCTGCTTGACTTTGCCACTGCGCAGATCACGCAAGAACCGTTTCGGTTCTAGCGTTGGCAATTGAGTTATCTCCGAAGTTAACTTCGGAGGCACAATCAGATCAAGCGTATAAGCGCCTACGCTTGATCCGTCATTAACCAAGACGTTCAACGTCTCGGTTTCTTCCTGGGAACTTGCTTCCACAGGTTGCTCAGGGCCTGATCCCTCAGCAAGTGACTCTCGAGGAATTCCTTCCTCAAGTACGTGGGGACTTATTCCCTCGACGTCTTCCGACTGTGGCTGTGCAACCACAGTCAGGCACCGATCCTCTACGGTCGACTCTCCATTCGACCTAGGATTACCGTGTTGCCACTTGGAGGCAACATGTTTCTTACTTCTCAGATGCTGCCCTCTAGGCATGCATCCATGTCCCGGTCCACTCGACTTATTCGAGAGGTGGACCTTCGGCGCAGCCTGTACTCCTGTACAGCGTCCGGGAGCTTGCTCCACAGTGTAGGGATCAGCTACACTGTGATCTTGTGCAGTCGTGCTAACGACTGTACCGCAAGTGAGGCCATCGCACTCGCTCGTAGTACACCCACGTGAGTGTGGGCTTTCCAAGATATTCATCAGATGGCCATCTGAGGAACAAGTGGCAGGTGTCGTAACCGATCGATACTGCCAACTCACCCTTGGCTCGTATTTTCAGAGCCAAGGCAACCCTAAGATGACGTCGAACTTGTCATCTAGGTCAAGCACGATGAAATCATCATCGTACTGTTTATCTTTCAGCGTGTAGAGGATTCCGAATACACATTTCTTCACAGTAATCGATGCGCCTGTCGCAAGGCGCACCGTTATTCTCGTTGGAGGGATCTTCCGCTCCACAAAGCTGATACGTCCAGCCTCTATTGACTGGCGTCGAAAAAAGTTGTTTGACTCCCCACAGTCAACTAGGGATCGAAGTGACAAGTCCTTTGTCACTTCCAATGTCAAGGTGAGGAGGGATACTTCATCACCAGGTTCAGAGACACACAATGACTGTGTGTCGGGAGCAACCTTCGTCGAGAGATTTGCAAATTCGCTCGATGTTGCCAAATTAGTGAGACGCATCGCCCCTACTAAACTAGACCATTTTTTGATGGTCCACTTCGCTGTTGCGGCTTTTCAACAGCATCGGACAATCTTCCTCCAGTTCTTTCAACTGGTTGATATTTACTGCGCTCAGCACGACGGATGCCGAGCGGGGGAAACATCATTCGTATGCATAGTGTCCCAGCTTATGACATCGATGGCATCTCAACATTCGCTTGTCATTCACAGGGCGAGGTTTCTCGCCCTCAACATGACTGAGTTCCATTGGTTCTGGACCTCCGACCGCTAATCGTCTTTGTAAACGATAGGGTGTAAGAGTAGTGTGAGCCTGTCTCACTCTAAAGTCTTCCTGCTGCGCAGCGTAGATTGCCTCAGAAAGCGTCTTAAGCTCTTTATTAACAGGTGGCCCCTGACAGGACCATTTGCAAGACCTTGAATAAATATTGTGATCTTGACAAATTCATTTACAGGGTTCACTACCATGCAACTTTATGGTAGCGTACATGCTGAGTGTAAGCGTGAACCTTTAGCTTACCCTGTATGATCTCAAGGAATTCAGAGAGAGTCCTGAAATTTGCCCTGGGAGGCTTAATCGGATCAGTGATCAGGGTCTTGAAGACGTCCAACGACTCGAAAACGTTCGGGTCGTGTAAGATGAGATTCAGGGCCCAATTCCTGGCGTCCCCTGCCAAGTAAGACTGATCGAATGCGACTTACATTTGCTCGTTGTCGATGCGACGGGCCTCGATGGCACCGTTGACCTCGACGAACCATATTAACAGGTAGTCTTCCTCTTCTCCTCGATACTTAGAGATCTCTAACTAAGAGACTCCTGTCGACGCTCACACGTCGACAATGCGGACTGAGACTGATGCAGTCTCGGTGCTTCAGTCCGCTGAAGCCCTTGTTGTTGCAACAAGGTCGCCTGCGCTCGCGAATTATTAAGTTCTCGTTGCAAGAGCTTGCTGATGACGGCATGCTGCTGGTCTCTATCCCTTGATAATAGCATGATTTAGATAGCCTCTTTGCCAACGGTCGAACTCATTCGTTCGATCGCACTCCATTCGGCATCTCCAAATAGGAGTAGCTTTAACGAGCTTGTGAAATCTGTCGCCTTCGACTTCGTCCAACATGTCCTTTTTTGGCGACGCGAGTGAGGTCCTTGGACGGACTACATAGTGCTACCAGGTGTAACGGGGTACTGGTGACTACGTACTGGACTGCCAGTACGAAGTTTACCTTCCACTGACAACAGTGATAGTCAGTGCCCTGCTTAGTGTTGCACCAACACAGAGGAAGTGAAAAGAGACTAGGGAACACGCTAGTCTATGGTAAAGTAAAATTGTTATTTAATATAATTAAGTCCTATCAATCTTATGTCTCTGTTTATCCTGACTTAATTATATCAATCTATCTAAACGTATGATGACGTCCACTTACCACCCATTGCGCGCGTCTAGCAGCGATTGGTGGGTTGATATCATCACGATATCAACCAATGAGTGTACGCTTCGGTCATCTTCAACAATATCATCATGTTTTGCGATATTGTAGAAACAATATCTAACGTAATATTCTTTATTGTCACTTAATCCTTAGTGACAATATCATGTAGCGGGCTACCCCGTTACAGTCAGACCGACCCAAGGTCCTAATAATAGTTGTGACACGCTAGATTCAAAACTGGTATAATCCCGGGATTTACGGTACCGGCTAGTAAGGCATTTCGAAAAGACATTAATTTGTAGCAATTATAATATTACTATCCGGTCTGGCAGGCAACATAGCAGTCGGTAAGGAGCGCCTGTGACCAGTTGGATGAAACCACGATCGGGAAGGAATGCATAGGCCCGACCGGAAGCGGGTCGTATCATGTCATTAGGAGACTTACATGTACAGGTTGAACTACAGAACAAAAACCCAAATAAAAAAACGTCGCCCGGACGCAGGAAAACAAGTGGCGAAGGGCAGACACACATGGCCAGTCCAAAAGCGCTGCTGAGCATTGCACCGTCGTCGAAACGGCCATTTCTGCTTTCGAATTGCTTCGCACTTGCAGCGCGTTCGTCGATCAAGCGGCAGTCGACGCAGTAGCTCTGCGTAGAACAAGACATTCATAGGAGGCCAAACATGAAAGCCGCACGAACAGCTCTCTTCGTCTCTGCAACCACTGCTTTCCTCGTGCTTTCCACTCAAGCGAGCAACTACAGCAAAGAAGAGCAAGCGATTTGGCTCGACCGGCACAACTACTTTCGCACGACGGGGTTGCCATGGTCGGCTGGGAACATGCGCCGCATCGGGTGGGACGCGGCGCTGGCAACCCGAGCTGCGGCAGCGGCTGCCACTTGCTCCGCTACGACGGCACGAGGTGTGAACGTCTTTCGCCAGTCTCCTTCGGGCGACGTGTCGTCAGCGATTGACGAGGCGATTCAGGAGTGGGTCGTTGAGACGGCCGTGGCAACGATTCAGACCGTGGCCCAGCCAGGCTCGACTGGCCTTGACGTCGGCGTCGATATCTACAATACCTACTCGCAAGGCGTCTGGGCCTCCACTTCGCTCGTGGGGTGTGCGGCAAGCGAATGTGCCGACGGGAACCTGGTCGTGTGCGGTTATTCGCCAGCTGGCAATGACGGCGAGTCGGCTTGGTACCATCACGCCCCCCAAGCGTCCGAGTGTCCCGGGGCGACGGTAGCATCGTATGGGTTATGCATCCAAGAGGGCGACGAGGCGAACGATCGGATCGCAGCGATTCCTACTGGAAGGTATTCGTATCAGGTGTATCCAGCGTACGTGTCGGACGTTCAGGCCATTCTTATCACGACGGCGCGCGAGATCGCTACCGGCAAGAAGATTGCGCCGCGTCGCAGCACCGAAGAGCTTCGGAACAACAGGAAGACAGAGCCAACGACGAGGGACAGCGAGTCGGGCAGTGAAGGCTATCCGCCGAGCTTTTTGAGGAAAGGCGGACGTGCGACGAACGCATCGTTCGAGTACGAGTTCTCGTCGTCTGCGTCCGTCCGGACAGAAGGTGGTGGCACCGACGTGCCTCAGGGGAAAGTGAAGGCTGGTTCGGACGCTGACTCGACGTTCCAGAATGACATTGAGTCTTCCGAACGGCGCAAGTCGAGCAGTCCGGCGCTCAAAGAGCAACGCGCCACCACACAAAAGGATATATCGTTGTCAACCAGTGAGGGCCATTCGAAAAGCGCCGAGTCGGAAGTGACATCGTTTCGGCAGATGCTTGGCATGTATTTCCTCGGAATGGGCGCAGTGACCGGGATCCTCCTCTTTGTGCACTACACGACGCCTCCTAAACGATAGTGTCAGTCCCTTTGTCGCTCGTGTGGGATCTCGTAGAGCTCGAAGTATTAACACGTGGTCTCGATCGAGTGCAAAGTCGATCTCGTTCCTTCCGCTTTCCTTCCATCCCATTCCGGCCATCGATTTACTCAAAGTGCTCCATTTGGCTTATCTCAATCGGAACGTTTTGCATGTGACGGACGACTCCTCGATACCAATCAGTCGATCGATCCTACAAAGATACATCAAGTCAGATTTCGTTTGGCCACCCCCGTCTAGGCACCTTCCAGTACAGAATGGCCACAGACAAGTCGAAGGCCGCGGTAGCAGCGCTCGAGCGGTTCGTTCATACCGAGCAAGAGGAGGTCACGCTAGACAAGTCTAAAGCAGCAAAAGGGGACGCGTCGCGGCTGAACGACAGTGTCTACGACTGGACCCAAACGTATGAGCAATGGGACGCGTGGGAAGACCCGGAAGAACTTGCAAAGCAGGAACAGACGACTCGAGACCGGCGTGAACGTACCTCCAGAGCTCAATTGGGCTGTGCGCACGACCACTCTGCCGTACGCATAGTTCGCATAGTTTTTTGTGGCAGACGTTGTCGACCCGTATTGATGGCAGTATTTTCCTCTCCTTGTGCGTGACACAGGAGCAAAAGTTGATGGACATGACAACTGCAGCAAAATTGGCAGCGTGCGAGGAGTTTCGAGTGCTCGGTAACCTTTTCTACGAGCACGGCCAAAACCAACGAGCTGCACTGCACTATCACAAAGCACTCGTGTACTTTGAGTATGTGTTTACAGACACAGACGAAGAGGAAGCAGAGGCAGAGGCACTCAAGCTGAAGGTGTTGCTGAATGTTGCAGCCTGTAGACTCAAGACGGTGCATCTTGACGACGCCGTGCACCATATTGATCAGGCACTGGAAATCGACGCCGGTAACGTGAAGGCGCTCTACCGTCGAGCACAGGCTTTCCGACGGATGGACAAGTTTGATCTCGCGCAACGAGATCTTGCGTGTGCATTGAGACTTTGCAGAGCTGCAGGTGATTCGCAGTCAGTAGCTTTGCATTTGATGCAAGAAAAGAAGCTGCTGCAAGCGAAAGCACTTGCTTACAAGTTGCGAACGAAGCAAGTGTCGGATGCGATGTTTGGCAACAGAGCACCACAAGACAAGGCGCTGCTGCGTCCCGCGCCTAAAAGTGCCAATGGACGTCGAATTCATGATGGGGGCACAATGAATCTCAGTTTGTCGAAGAGGTCTGACTCGATCCTGACGTCGTTTTGTGATAATTGCAAGTGTTGGAGCGCGTTTCAGCCATCTACTCGAGGACTAGACGAACTTCAGACATTGATAACGACGCTTGACGAGCGAACGATGGAGACTTAAGTGGAAAACAGTGAGAAGGAGATACATTCTATTGGATTTTTACCTGTGCAAGTAAGAGTGGACGGACACCAGCTCCTCGTTTCTGCCACATTGCCAGCCAAACTATCAGATCCGCCTAGTCCTCGAATTTGAAAGAGTTTGAGGCCATGCTGATGGCACCGCACATGTACGTCGAGCGCTTGAGCTTATTCTTGCCCTTCGTAAAATCCTTTCCACGCGTCATAAGAAGCTTTGCGTTGGCCTTGACACCGACACCGTCCGTGCCAAACGCGCCTTCGTAACTGTTGTCACGCAGTGTGTCATTCACGATTTTCTGCGACCAGAACTCGCCATCGACACGTTGGAATGGTGTGCCCGCTGACTTGACCTTCGTGGCGACCGTTTCCATTTTCATAGGCTGCCACGCCAGCGCAGCCTTAGCTGCCTCATCACGACGTGCAGCTTCCTTCTTTCGAGTCACTTCGTCCGCCGAAGAGTCCGAGTCCGAGTCTGATGAGTCCGAGTCCGAGTCTGATGAGTCCGAAGAGTCCGAAGAGTCCGAAGAGTTATCGTCTGATGACGAGCTGGCCTCTGAGCTCGAGTCTACGTCCCGTTTTACCTTCTTGGTGTTCTTCTCGGCAGGAAGAGCCTCAGTCTTCCGCTTGCGGATCTTTGACTTCGCTTCGTCGTCGGACTCTGACTCACCCGATGAATCCGACGAGTCATCCGATGAATCCGACGAGCTATCCGAGCTCGACGAGTCATTCTTCTTTGCCTTCGCCTTTACCTTCTTCGTATCAGCAGCAGCTCTTTTCCTCATCAATGTCTTTACCTCTTCCACTATCTCATCCGACGAGTCGCTCGAGCTGTCGCTCGATCGAGACTCTGCCATCTTGCCAACTGCCACCTTCTTTGACCCCCTTTTCTCAGCTGCTTTCACGGACGACTTCGTCTTCTTCTTCTCCTTCTCCTCTGTATCTTGTAGCACTGTCTTCCCCTTTTCTATCTTCTGACCGCTGCTCCTTGAACCCGTCTTCCCCGTCAACTGCTTCTCCTTCTCAGCCTCGGATGAGTCCATTGACCCACTACTCTTCTCCTTCTCCTTCTTCTTCATCTTCTTCTTCTGCTCTTTCGTGACTGTGTTCTCTTTCACGAGGCGAGTCGCGGCCTCTCTTTTGCTCCCGTTGACTTTGTGCGTCACGTAATACGAGTACACATCGACCAAATCGTGCGTGCTCTCCAACGCCTGGGGCTGTAGCTTGGCTTCCTTTGCCAATGCAGTTGCTGCTTTCCTCATTCCAGAGCGAGTCAACAGGGCGTGGATCAATGGCAGCACGTCGCTCGCTACTATCATGGCGGCACAAGGTCAGTGCAGCTACCAGATGGGTACAAAGAGCTCTTCACGTGACTGACTGCGGACGGTGGACGGTGTCCAGCAGTATATGTCACCATCCGAGAAAGTGCGATTCGGTGGCTGAAAGACTCGTTTCGATGCCACGATAGACTACAGCCACCGAATACCGACAAGCGCGTCGAGGCGCACCATTACGTCCGAAGTTATGCCACATGGACAAGAGGTATACCCGACAGGGGACTATGGGCAACACGAGGTTTATCATTTATTACAAACACATGGGATCCTACAACACTCAGCCCGAAATCCTCAAGCACACGTGTTAGAAGTAGTGCTCCTGTGAATCAGCTGATACGTATGCGAATGCGTGATGAAAGATGGAGATGTGCTCTAGTAGCTCTATGTGCTTGAGCCGACAACACGGTACCGCTGCTATGCGCAGGTGGTTCAAACGAAACCACCAGAGCTCACGTGCTTCAGAAAGTACGTACGAGAGATAGAGTGTTCTTTGTACCGATGTGTCTTTGGCTAGCAGCAAGTCAATTGGCATTCGGAGACTGTTGGAGTTCGATCCACGATGACAAAGGCTTTGACACCTCAATTTGATCACGGAGCAAGTTCGTTTTGGCCTGCGTCCGAGTCTCGCGGCAATTACGCATTCTGATGTGCTTTCTGCACCGATTCGTCGAATGGAGGCTTGGACTCGTGGGTCACTATAGTGCACCATCTATCCAACAACGTCCCTACGACGATATGAGCCACGTAATGACACCGGCACGAATGTCCAGCACAAATGCGGTAATCCATGCGCATCATTCGTACCACATGGTTGGTCCATTGTGCTAAAGACTGTCATGCAACAAAAGCTTGGTGTATACACGAACTCAAATTCTTGTTCTAGACACGTTTTTAAAGTACCTTCACGGATGAATGCTATACGAGCGGATACACGCATGCCTGGAATCATTTGACCACATCGACGCACATCTTCTTCATTCCTTATCATATACATAGATTACAAACTTTTCAACTGTATCCGTCAACAGCCATTTCGCAAGAAGGGAATGGTGCTTTGACGCGTCAATCGAAACCAAAGACTGTTTTAAATACCGTTCAATTGCAAGACAACGTAGCTTCTCTCTCGTTTATCCAGATCGATTGACGTTGTATTAATGTGGCTGTCGCCTTGGCGGTATGGTTGAGTGTAGATGGAAAAGACAGCGGCGTGTCAAATTGCCGCCTTACTCTGGTTTGAGCGGTGGTAAACGAAAAACAAATTGTCAACATTAGACGACGAATGGATATAGGCAGTAAGAGCATACATTGTGCGGTCCGCATCAAACACGTGGTACGGAATACTGACACTTCATTGTGCTAGATTCTTTGATGCAAAGTTGCTCAGCATGCGTTCAAACAAGATTATGACCTCGCGTCATCGAGTGTATGTATCTGGTGGGTAAACGTACTGGCGTGCCGATACTTTTCATGGTGCACCCCTAAAATTTGTTATTCTTGCCATAATATAATCTTAGTATGGACTTTGATCTGTCCACCAGTGTGTGCATGGCGTATCAGTGCAGTATATCACGCAACCACCCGCAATCAAGCGCCTATTTGACGAAAAACACGTCCGATAGAAGCCATCATCCACACCATACATAGAATACAATCCGCTTGCACAATACGGTGCATTCACTGTAAGACCTGAGTGGACGACTTCAGCCTTATCTTACTATGGCAACAAGATGCACAATCATCTGCAGATGTTTTACGTAAAAAGCATAGAAGACCACATTGAACGTAGCCAATCGATAGAGCTTGCATCCATCGAGCAGATGCATTGCTGTACTTGCCTCATGAAGGAATCGTCCAGACCACGATTGGCGCCAACATCGAGTACAAATATCTGCGGGGCTACACAGCTTTTTATGTCAGAGATAGACGTCAACTCTCAACGAGCAACATTATATTCAATGATCCCGACTTAAAGAGTCAAAAAGCTCAGAGAGCTTTAGGTTTGGTTCAAAAAACTCAATTTGAGAGTCTACAAGCTCAGAAAGATTTAGGTTTGGTTTAGAGAACTCGACTCAAAGAGTCAACAGCTCTACGAACAGCTATCGTTTTAAGAATCCGACTTAAAGGGTCAACAAGCTCATAGGATTACAGTCCCTGTTCTAGGGAGACCAAAATATTCAAAGAATCAAACGCACTAAGTGCACAAGGAGTAGCAGCCTTAACAAGGCGTTGCTACTTCCTTACATCGCAAGACGCCTCAGAGAGGCACGTGTCTTTTGTTGATCAAAATGGGAACGGAATTTTATTTCTTCCTTTAACCTAAAAGAACACCGTAGAACAAAGTAAATAACCTACTCACTTATGTCCTAAATAAACCTATTAAAAGATTGCGTAATCAATGGTTGACAGACACTAGTCTTCAACAATTGATACTTGTGTTTTTATATTACTTTAAAGGGGATCCCATCTTTTGTGTGTACCATACCTATTGTCGACTACCAGTCGACTTGTAACCTCGTTACACCCTCCCCCCCCACCAGACTGACGTTTCCACAAAACGTCAATCGAATTCTTTCCTAAAAGAGGACGGTGTGTGTGCGCTTCAACCTTACGGTTGGCAAAATACAAAACATAATGGCATCACCACCCTATGAGTCCTCGACTCTCTTGTCCTACCTTGGCATCGATGTGGATGTGGATTATAGTAGCGATACTGATATTCATGGTGAAGAGAGGAAAATGTCCGACGCACCAGTGCAAGAGGCAGCGCCTCATAATGCACCATACCCATTTGCCGAGCGTGGCGAAGCCAACGCACCATCGGCGCCGCATCAAACACCCATCGTGGGCGATGCCATCCTCGCCAACCCGCTCGATGAGCAACAACAGTTGGCTATCCAACGAGAGGAGAGCGCTCAGCGCCGTATGCAGCTTGCTGCAACCCTTGAGGGTCGCCGTAGCTATCTGTTCGCACCACTCAATGTTGAAGAGCGTATACGCCAAACGACAGGTCGTTTTTTGGCAACGCGGACCATTGGCGCTGAGCCTACATCTTCTGATGAAGTGGCAAGTCGACAGGCACTTTGTGAGAGGTACTTGCAACCCCACTTGACGACTCAAAGTCAATACAAGTTGCGACTTGACACGCAAGCACGGGGTGCACCGGTTCCACCGATGAGGGATATACCCATCCTCTTTTTCGCAGGCAAATCTCAGGAAGAAGAAGACAACGCTTTTGTTCGCTGGGTATATTGGAAACGACACCTTATCAGCGTTTAAGCTCTCAGAGCAAGTGCTGATGTGGCATATGTTCGTCTAGAACGAAAGCTTCGGTATGATTACGCCAAGCTTAAGGCCAGAGGCCAGTTGCGAACTCGCACACGCTATGCTCCGGCTGTGCCGATTGATGTGGGTGTTGGTCAAGCGGTACCCAACTACCCACCTGCCTCCACCACTATTGGTGAGAAGCGCTCTCGGTCAACGGATGACCCCTGCCACGATGTTCAAAAACATCAACGGCGTATGGGCATTCCTGCCGATGGGGTGTCTCATACTCCCACGAGTTCTCCGACTCCGGGTATCCTCGCCACTTCACCAAATAGTGGTATTGGCCACGACGACGACGTCGTTTCAGGAGTCGGTCCACATGGAACTGGCATTTGCCTTGCTTATTAAGCAGCGTCGTAGGTGGGGTCGTTAAACCAAAGGAGGAGCATGAGAAGGTGCTTCTTGAGATGAGTGACCTCCGTGAGGCATTGGGTAAGACCCAGAGTGCGTTTGACGCGATGCAAGCCCGTGTTCGGGCGTCGTAGTTGAGCCAAGCCCGGATGGAGGCTCAGCTTGACCTCCTGATACGGATTCAGCAACCCATGGCAAGGCCAACATACCCGGCGCAAGCGCCTCCAAGTTGATTTGAAATGGATCCCGAAACGGCTTAAGCAAGCCAACGTAGAACACGGGGTGTGTGCGCAGTTTGTGCGGAAGGTTAAGCGTATACTCAAGTCCCTTCTTGGCGACTACAGTTAATGGTCCAATGAAGCGCGGGCGCAACTTTGTCTTGAAGAAAGCAGATACTGCATTTGTAGGAAGGTTTTTAGCATTGAGTAGAACTTGGTCTCCGACCTCATAACGATCGATACAACCTCTGCCTTTAGCATCAGCTTGTTCCTTCTGCTTGTCTTGGCTATCAGCCAGTGCGTCACGCACATGTCGTAAGACATTCAATCGCGTTGCGAGAAACTCGCTTACCTGATTTGGACAGCAGAAGGGCTGCTATCAGCAAGCTGATTGGTTAATCCTTCCCCACAAGGCCCTGAACCACGCAGTGGTAGCGTTAACAAAACGCGAGGGTGTGTGAGACCATACACATAAAACGGTGTGTAGCCGGTCGAGGCATACACGGCGTTATTCAACGCAAACTCAGCGACAGGGAGCATCGACTTTAACGATTAGGCGTTTCAGCGCAAACACTGCGCAAGATGCCACCGATGATGCGATTCACTCGCTCGGTTTGACCATTAGTAGGCGGATGACCAATTTCGGACATGTCCAAACGTGTGCCGAGCACCTTGGAGACGGACTTCCAAAACTTTCTAGTGAAGCGAGGATTTATATCAGAGACAATTTCCAACGGCAAACCGTGTTGTCGAAACACGCGATCGATAAACAGCGTAGCTGTACCTTCACCATCAATTGTATCTGGCACCGCCGCTAAATGAGCCATCTTGCTAAAACGGTCAACAAAGACCACAATACACGTAGTTCCATGCGAATCATTCGTCAAACCAAACAGGAATTCCATGCTGATGGACTCGTAATACCCTTTTGTACAGGCAAACTAGCCAGCGACGCGGCCGCGTGAGATGAAGGTTTCACCCGTTGACAAGTTTCACACGTACGCACATATGTGCTCACCCATTTGTATATTTTGGTCCACCAATAGCATTGGCTAACTAAGCCATAGGTCTTCTCACAACAGAACTGAC